TCTCTCTCTCTCTCTCTCTCTCTCTCTCTCTCTCTCTACGGTAGAGACAAGAAAATAGAATAGTCAAATTGTGAGCAACATGGAGCAGAGAGAATATTTTGTATTCAGATAGAGCTTAAGATTACAAAACTAGAACCACATATATATATATATATATATATAGAGAGAGAGAGAGAGAGTCCTATAATTCAAAGGCCTATGAAAAATCATTCACCTGAGAAGCTGCCAGCCACTGAATCATGCTCTTCAATTCATGGTCTCCACCAAATGCTCCACATCCCCAATTTCCAGTCGCAATTCCTACATTTTCACAACAGTTCAGACCTTGATCATTCTTTAATTTAGCTTCTTCAAACAAGTCTGTGACTTGAGTAGATCGGTTCATTGCAGTCGTAGAGGTAGAACATGCAGTTGCCTCTGCTTCTCTATCAGAACTGAAATTAAAAGAGAGAGCTTTCTCAAAATTCTTTGAACAAGTCATCTCTACAGGAAAAGAAACACAGATGGAAAAGAAATACAACTGCAAAGAACATCAATAGCATCATTCACCTCAAAGGGAAAGTCTCTCATAACTTGTCTATGGTAGCTATCATTTTAAGTAAATAAGTCCCCCAACCCTTCTTCCTTTCTTGCCAATTTATAATCCCAAAGTCTAATAGCTTCCACCAAATGTTCCACCTCTGTTTCATTGTTTTCAAAAATGCCCACCTCAGGCACCTACATGGCACCTCAACTTGAGATGGGTGCCTAGGCATCTTACCTAGGGCAAGATGGGTAGTTGGCCCAAGCCCAGGTGTGTGCACAGCACCTCAAGTGAGGTGCCCACCTCGGCTGCCCACAGCCCAATGGCAGAAAATGTCCAGGGACCATGGGCATTGACATTGGGGGGTATTCGAATTTGCTCCCAATTGCTCTCTAACTTCATTTTGGTGAGAAAAACATCTAAACAAAATTCATCTTTTTGAAAACTTTTTAAGATCCGAAAAACTTAGAATTTTGAGAAATCATTTCAATCCAATTTTTTTGGATTTGATTCATTGTAAAATATGAAGAGTTGTTACAAGAGAAGACTTGGTGATTTAAAGCTCAATAATCATCAAATACATCGACGATTAGAAATCGGGCAACAAAGTTAAGTCATTACTCGTTAAATTACACAAAGACATTTATTCTATACATTAAACAAATGCATTTACTTTATACAAAATTACATGCACTGCACATAATTAGTTTATTTTATGCATCATTACATGCATTGTATGCAATTACTTTTTCATGCATTAGTTTGTTACATGTGAATATAAGCCCAAATGTGAGGCTGGGGCACCTCAAACCTAGGTGCCCACCTAGACGACCACATGGCATCTGGGACCAGCCATGCCCCCTCTCTCCCATGGCCGCCTTAGGCACTGCCTAGCAAATTTTAAAACCTTGTAGGTAGTATTCCAAGGCCTGGACTGGTGTCTCGATTCATTTTACTAATTTTTTATCACAAAGCAGTCCTTGTTTAGGGAATCAGGATGTGCCATCTTTACCAATTTCGTGCTTTAATTCCCGAGTCATCTTCTGTTTTGCTAATAGCAGCATGTGCTCCATTATCCAAATCTTGCAATTTTCCCTGTAAATAACATAGAAATATTCATATCAGTCTTAAAATGTTAGTATGAAAACAAAATGGATGAGAAAGGTTATCAACTATACATAGTAACTATAGGACTCCAGTACAAATATTAAAACTACTGAAGCAAGTAAACTCTCTTCTATTCACCTCTTTAAAGATGTTCATGTACTGATGACATTTTGAATGATCCATAAATCCACAGAATGCTTTATTTGTCTCCCTATTTCCACAAATACTCCAGTAAGATATACATTGATGCACATAAAAATTTAAGCTAAAGCTGCAAAGGCATAAAAACTAAAAGGTAACAAAGGAATTTGCAATCTGAATCAAGCAATCTTCAAGAAACACCCAGCAAGCTGCATGACAAAGTTCTTGCTAAAACTAATAATAAAGGGGAAAGTATATAATGAGACCATTTACCTTTGGTACAAGGTGGTCACAATTAATCTTGACCATTGGATGTGAAATTGGGTGGCCGCATTTATTTCATTGACCAAGTTCAAAGTTAAAAAAAAAAATTCTCGAAATTTGTGACATCCAAGCTATCAGATTTCACATCGAATAGTTATAAGTAATTGTGACCTCCATATACTAAAGGTAAATAGTCTCATTGTATACAATCCCATAATAAAATTACTATACATCTAATTTAATCAGCTTATAACAGAAGTCAAACAAAATTGCACAAATTATTTTGTGGAAAACCAACTGCCATCCAATCAAGTAGATCTCATACTTGAAAGTTAGTAAGAGAATAAATTTTAAGTGGGATAGTTAAGAGGTTGTAACTATATAGAAACATAATATGATGAGAATAATGAAAAGGGATATGTATAGTGTTGTGCTTCTATAATATGAAAGGACGGTAATACTAATTTTGAGCGAAGAACTTATTTACTAGCATACCTAAGGAGGCAGTCTGCCCCGTATTGTTGTATACCCGGATGACATAAAGCATCAATTGCTACAATACGTGTTCTCCGTCTACCTCTTATATCCAAAGGTTTATGATCCACATAGTTCCCAGAGAAAACAAATGTCGAAGCATACCTATTTCACATCATATAAGTCATACATTAACCTATTGAGCAAAACAAGTTATGATAAAATGCTACTTGCTCCCCTAATTGTAATAGGTAAAAAACAATCAAAAGAATAAGAACTCGAAGTAAGAAAAAACATGTGAAAATGCTTAGCAAGAATTCCTTTCATGAGAAAGTGTAAGGGCACTGGCAAAGAAAGAACAGAGTTAGATCACACAGTTATCACAAATACATTGTCCATATAAAAAATCCTTTGACAAAGGGCAAGAAAGCCTCAACGTTGCTCCAAATGCAATAATTTGAGTGGAACACCAACTGCAAGTTAACTTAAAACCAAAAAAAAATAAAAAATTTACTAATAAGTACCAGTTCAATAATTTGGTCGCTCATTTTTCCACTCCACCAACAATTTGCCAACCATTCAAAGAAGTGAATGAAACCCTTTATGGTCAGCGATTTAAAATTCCAGTGCTTTCCCTCATTAAATGGGGCACAGCTTGCAAAATTTTTATCAAGGGAGGCTTGAAAATACAAATAACTTGGGATAGAAACTTGCAGGCCTAAGTTCAAGAGGTATGGAGGCTATGGACGGATTTCCAGCTATAACAACATATAAGTTTCTTTCAAGAACTTTTTTTTTTTAATCATCATCATCATCAGAGTCTTTTCCCAACTATTTTGGGACGGCTACACGAGTCCTAGTATGTCATTCTGCTCTATCAAGGGTCATACCCTTAGTGAGGCCCCATATCTTTTCTGACTACTTGTAACCATGTCCTTTTGGGTATACCCCTTACCCTTTTTGAGCCTTCCACTTGAACCAACTCGTACCTCCTAATAGGAGGTCTCTCCGTGATTCCCATGGAGATAATCAGAAAGTCTATGATATGGTGATTTTAGACAAAAGAGAAATTTACGTACGGCCATGAAAAAAGTAATTAAAGTACAAAATGGGTCTAATTTAGCCAAAAATTATGTGGGGAGTCAATCCCCCCGCAGTTTTTTTTTTTCCCATATTGCCCCGTGATCCAAGAATGCCATCCTCAGACTGCTTTTTTTTTTTTTCATTAGTAGGGTTGTGCCCCAGTGCTCAGTCAGTTCAAGGATGGGGACCTCAGACCGCTCTATGGATAACAGGGCTGAGTCCAAAGTCGACCTAAGTTCCCCATCCTTGGACCGACTATTTTCTACCATTATAGTGGAACATGTGCAGTCCGAGGATGGGGATCTCAGACTTGCTCTATGGAAGCAGCAGGGCTGTCCAAATGTGGTTCAAGGTCCCCATCAAAACATAGGCGGTCCAAGAATGGGGACCTCGGACCGCTCTTTGCATTGCCTTAAACCTTAAGGCACAATCCTACTCTCAAAATAAAATTTAGAAAAAAAAGAACTAAAAAGCAGTCTGAGGATGGCATTCTCAGATCAAGGGGCAATATGGAAATAATAAAACCATGGGGGGACTGACCCTCTACGATTTGGCTAAATTAGATCCATTTTGTATTTTTTATACTTTTTTCATGTCCATAAGTAAATTTCTCTAGACAAAATCCACAAATGAAAATTACCAACAACAGCAACACAAGTTCTCAGTGACCTAGTGACGATTAACTATAGGAAGCAAAAGGAATCCACAAATAAGGTGAGGGGAGCATGGAAATGTTACACGGGATGCCTCAACCTTGAGGATTCAGGATGCTATGAGAGACAAAACAAATGTGGTAGTTCATTGACGTGAGGATCTTGGGAAAAGACTTAAATGGTCTATGGGTTATTGAGAATGACTATGTAAATATCATTAATGGCTTCAAGTACGATCTCAACTCCTGGAGGTCAGGAACTTTTGCTGAAGTAGGACTTACTGCAGAGTTTTTGTATCTTGGGTATTATTCGTGAGACAAAGGACACCAATTTGGTGTGTAATACAATTGTTGGATCGGGATTGGGAGCGGGAGCGAGAGCGGGATCGAGAGCGGGAGCGGGAGCGGGAGCAGGATCGGAAGCATGGAATCATGGTAAGCTACAAACTTCCCTATAGTCAGGATTGTTGTCCATACACCCTGAATGTTAAAGTATTAGATCCCAACATATCGGGGAACTGGATCACAACTTTTTGGGATCGCACAATTAATTCTAAAGGTCCAAGACCCATTTGGTAAAAGCAGCATTTTTCTCTTTGAAAATTATATAGACCATGATTTTGCAACATAATTACTTTTTGTTTTTAATCGATGTGCATTTAAGAATTGTTTTTTTATAAAAGATCAATTAATTTAAGTGTGATTTATATTGACAGATCCCCAAGGAGTAGGGAACGTTCTTCCTCCATATGGAAGATAGATCCACTCAAGGTCTAGCACCGCAAGCGCAGGATCGCCACCACATTGAGAACTCCCGCTAACTCGTAATGCATTGGCTAATATGGCTGCATCTAGGAACAGCATAGGATGAAGGGATCATGGGAAACGTACATGCCATGCTCGACATGTAACTTCCAGGCTCTATCCTTCATGATAAGTTTTTCTCTTTTAAGTTATCTATTAACCAAAAACTCTTCAACATTGAACTCGAAAAACCAATGGCTAGAAAATTCTCTAACTCACTAATAGATACATATGAGTTTCCCAAACAAGCCCAAGCATAAAAGAACAACAAAATAAAGTAAATAAACAGCAGTGTGTTTTCAAGGCAGTACCATCCCAGTCAGCGTTAATTAAAGTGGTCCACGAGGATTTACCATAGAAAAAGAAACTAAAGCCCCAAATAAAGACTCACCCTCTATAATTACAAAACCGTTCTGCACCAACAATTTCCAGAGCTTCATTGTCCTCCATGCGAGGTGCGAAAAGCATTCCCACGATTAACTCAGGATTGATCATGAAACGGATCTCTTCCTACAAATAACACAAAAGAGTAACTGTGAGGGATTACATGTTTTCACAAGCCTAAAATAAATTTTAAAGCTGCACAGGAAAGTTCATGACCCCAAAAATAATCCTATAAAAATTTGAAAATATTAGTCAATGAACAATTCTAGTATTTATGAGTCCACAACCAAAACATGTGAATTTGAACTTAGACAAAAATATATAGAAATTCTTATTAGGCCATATTTGTTTAACAGAATCATGCAATGTGCTCTAGTAGAGAGCTTCAACATCCTCAAGTACTGAGGTAAAAACAATGATATCCATTGACATATGTTCATAACATTTTCTTTACTAAGTAGGGAAAGGGCTTATAAACAGTGAAATATGCATGTCATAGTGAGAAGTTGCCAGGCAAGCACGCAAGATATTTGCAATCACTACAAACAAGTAGAAAAATAAAACACTAAAGAAATCTTGCAAAATCATTTATCAAGAGGATGAGGAGAAAAGCTACAACCAAAAAAATGCTGAGCCTCATTTCACGTATGTCTAGACTCCTACTTAACCGAAACACTCTAGACCAGTTATACAAAACAAAACAACACTTGAATAACTCCCATAATCAACACAAGCAAGGAAATTGTCCTGACCATGGGTAGCTAAAGAGAAATGACAACAACTGACAAGATAAACTGCTAACTATCCATGTCTGAAAATTTACATTCACCAATGTATATCAAGTAACTGGGAATGATACATTAAAGTTGGCACGTTTTACACAACAATAAAGGTGGTCAACAATGTGCATAAAGTATAAATCATGCATAACCGAGAAATTTCAAAATTCATCTGAAGCCATAGACACAAAGAAAACAAATTGGAAGTGGTGTAATCTAGTCTAATCAAACGTTTTTGTTCTTATTATTGTAAATTATCAAGTTTGTAGTTTGTTAAGAGATTAACTCGCCACATACTTTTAACGGAAATGGCATTGAGAATACTACACGCGAAGAATTACAGCTTTTTGAGTTTAAAACTTGGCACCCTAAAGGAGCTACTGAAAGTAATTTTTGTTTTTAAATCATTCCCTGCTGGAAAGCAAAGAGAAACCATTTTCTCATGCGTCTCAACAGCAAACAAGAAATGTTTTGACGAATTTATCAGAAAGCAAAATTACATGGGTAACAAATGTTAGCTTTTGCACCTTCATTTTAATTATTTAACTCAAAAAGTTTCAAAGACTAGTTGCTTAGTTCCAAGCAAATCATCAAGATGAATGAATAGCAAATTAGAAGTATTGGGAACCTCATATGAAACAAAAGAGTATCAAGCATGCATTGACAGGTAGAGCACTGAGCCAAAAAGTATTCATTATTTTGGAAAAGGTCAGGACCGTTAGGCAACACCTGCACACAGCCCCTATGAAGAGCACCTCCTCCAAAGTATTGATTAGCAAAATCAACTTCCAAAGCTTCGTATGGTTGGTCTTCTATAACACCCGAATGCAAAACCTGAGTTAAGTAAACATGCAGCTAGAGTAAAGAGGTTTTGGAAAAACTCTCATTACCTACATATCAAAATTTATTAAATAATTCAGGGCAAAGAGGAGACCACTCAGACTGGAGTAAAAGTTTTCCTCTACCTTGAAGGGGCACAATTCAACAATAGATTTACTCCAAAAATCGGTTTTGGGGTAAGAAATATGTAGGGAACTGCCATTTAGGGGAAGTACTTTCCTCTCAAAAGAGACAAAACCCATTGGCATACATGAACATATCCGTTCAAAATAGTGAACAAGACACTTTATCTTATGCTTCTGGCTCGGGCTGTAACTGTTGTGAATGCTCCTGTAAAAAAAAGAAAACTAAGCAGAGCTTTCTCTCCTTTCAGTTCAATAATTTCAATTATCAAGAAAAAAATCATGCAGGAGATTATGCACCCATATTCATTAAAGAGTCATGCTACAGATAATTATACAAACAAATAAATATAAAATTTTTTATTCTTTGGTCAGTAAGCAGGGGGTATTAACATCCTTGACATTACTTTGCAGTTTCACAACCCTGGCTATCAAGTCAAGAGCATTATTCCAACATGTAATTATGTAACTAATACACCACTCTACTTACTTTTCATGTTTTTCATTTTCTAGAACATAAACGACGGTTTCAACCCATCACCTAGACACCCATGCATTCAAGAAGCCTGGTGCCTTACATTACAAAAAATATATCAGTCACAGAATTCCTTTTTTTTTCCTAGGTAGTATCATACCACTACTACAATATTATTTAGTTTAATGCTCAGCAGAAAGTAAGTAGCAATTCATCACAACAGCATAACTCGAAAGAAGTTTATGAATTTACATTGAAGGTCAATAGCTGGTAGGGTCCCCATGGAATACTATTAAACCAAATCATGACAGTCATCTAAATTTCACATATCAAAGAATGAACAGCATTCAAATAACTCAATCAACTGTTATGGTGCAGGAAGAGACATACACAAATAGATAGTCGAAGTTGATGGTTGGAAGGTTTCTAAAACTCCTACCAATGCTTGGGAACAAACAAAAGAAGGAACAGGCAAGCAAAGCACCAATTAGCTCCTGAAATAAATAGAGACCATCCCATGTCAGAATCATCTAATATCCAATACTAGAAGACTAAAACAGTACAAAACAACACAAAATCAGATACTAACTGAAGACCAAAAACATGAAAGGGGATCTATGACTACCAGAAAAGCATTCCATGAGAACATGTAGGATCCTAATAAAGCATGGTTATGAAAAGGAAGTGCCTGACAACTACAGTAAGAAATAGTAAGTACTTATCACACCGACATACATGTTCTAGCCAAAGTAAGTGCCAATAAATTAGGGCACGAAAGATGTTACTTCACCTGAAATGGTTCAAAATGAACACAAACGGGGACGCACGTGTGAGAATGCAAATGAACCAAAGCACACTAATCATCTAACAAGTGTACAAGGACCCCAGACACTAAGAAACTTTCAGTATCTTACAGAAGTGAGCAATGGAGGAATGGCAAAGGAGTGAGAATTGGAGGAAGGGCCAAGGAGTAAGTGAGAAGCAGAGCAGGACTTTGAAATCTCACAAATGTGCAAGAGACTTTTTCATGTTGGATTCTTCCAAATCAATTTAATGAAGTTTGAAGGACCTAGAATAAAGAAGGTTCTTTGATGGATCAAGGTTTTCAATCTCTCTTTGGAAAGTGACTCAAATGCTTCCTTTGAACGTTTGCAATAGCTAGCCCAAGAAGGAGCATAAGCTCAATCACATTCTTAGGCTGTGGCCTCTTGAGAATGGCTTGTACATTTTGATCATCCATCATGATCACCCCTCTGCTTATGTTGTGCCGAGGAACATGATCAACCAGTCAGGCACCACCATGATTTGGCTCATGCCATAGACCTTGGTTAGTCTGTTGTTGAAGTCCTTGGGCAGACTGATTCAAGGACTTCAGGGACAAGAAGAATCTCAAATAATCCAGCAGACCTATCTTGTTGGCAAACAACGAGAGTCTAGACATAGTGTTGCAGATCCTGCTCCCTGTGGGACTCATAGAAGTTGCCAACCAAGAGCGTTGTGATGAGCTGGCTGCCAAGGACCATCAATGCAGGCCATGAACAAGTGGTGGCCAATACATGTTGCATAGTATTTGAATCAAAAGTTGTAACCTGGGATCTATATAAACCCCAGGCCAAGACCCTTGAGGGGCACCGGTGCAGTGTAAATGGAGGAAGTAATAAAATCGTGACCCTTGTGTATACCCTTATGCGTTGTGTATACAAAACCCTCTGAACAAGTAAAAGAAAAAGAAAATGCCCATACTCTGTCAATGCACTATCCTTCTTAGAACAAAGAATTTCTTTGCACTCCCTCTAAAGCAAGGGAGTTGGGCAACTCATTCAACTCTCTGTTTTTAACAAGTTGAAGGTGATTTGCTAGTTTTGAAGTGATATAAATTATTTATTCCTAGATGTTTGCAGGGCAATTTAACTGTTCTACTTGCCTAAGCTATAGCATTAACAGAATCACTCTCTACTACATGTATTTCCAGCTTGGTGAAGGCACTCCAAACCCACTAACAATGCTTAAACCTGGGCCTCAACCCCTGTCAAAAATTCATCATGGACTCAACCTCATTAGCAAGGATCCATTTGTTCGAAGGAAGAGAGCGGGGTATTCATTTGGCCCATGAGATATCATTCCACATATTTATCAACTCTGAGTGGAGAATCCACCAACTCCTTTCATATCAAGGCCCATGCACCATGGCCTTTACCCTATCCCTTACCTAAAAATCACAATGATATTTGCTCTTGAAATGCACCTATATCTTTCTAAAGATAATCCAAGATATTGCCAGATTCCTTTCATATCAGCGCCCATGCACCATGGCCTTTACCCTATCCCTTACCTAAAAATCACAATGATATTTGCTCCTCAAATGCACCTATATCCTTCTAAAGATAATCCAAGATATTGCCAGAAGGCCTAGATGCGAAAATAGTAAGCCATGCTTGGGGATAAAGAGAACCAACATAGAATATATGGATTTATATCGCTCCGTAAAAGTTTTATACTCCCCAGCATACAAAATGAATTGCCCATGATCTACACTAGCAATCGTGGCTCACCTGCAACTAACCAAGACCTGCTCACATGTATTGACGGGGATAAAAAGCAACCCGACTTTACGCCACCATACATCCCCGCTTACCAAATCTAGCATTTTTCACAACCACTAGCTTCATAGAACGAAAAATGCACAAGTCGTGAATCATGCTCCCTCTTCTTCTTCTTCCTCATCCTTTTTTTCTTTTTTTGATAATTACTTATTACCCATTTTCGCAAGATGAATGCCACCATAACATTCGAGTTAACCACACCTAATGAGGTGTGAGGTAAAATCCAATGAGCATTTTTTTTTTTGAGAAAGTTAACGGTGGCAAAATCAAATGAGCATTAATTCCGCTATTGTAACCATCAAAACTAATCATGTCTAGCAAAACTCAACTCTCGAGATAAATATGTTTATGCAACTTCTAGAAACTAACTGAAATTAATGGAATATACTTTTTGTATTTCATGGGTATTTAATCTCTTGAAATTCTTGTAATGACAAAATGCATTAATGTACAAAAACAGTTTTGAATGAAAGAATTGAACGTTGTCATTTATTATAAGCAATTATTGATAGATATATTTATTTTTCATGTTCTTAAGTGTTAGCTGTTGTCCTGTGTGCAGTTCAGCAATTCTAAAATTTGGGTTCAAAAGACTAAGCAACCCTTTTTCATAATGGAAAATGTCTATATAAGGGTGAGGCCCTAAACAATCAAATTAAGGGCACCTCAAAAATTCACTCGATGTTGTTTCGATGCTTAAAAACCCTCAATTCAATCATTTCGACCTCAAGATGTATCAACATGAGAAAAAATCAATTTCAAGTCTTGAAAATAGTACATCTTGTAATGTATTATCTACATCATCAATTTTCAAGATTTTCAAGTGTTCATAGATCTGATCATTTTACTCTATTTTTTAATATTTAAATTTTATAACCAGAGATGAAATAAATTTTCAGGCCATTATAAAGATTTCTGATACTGAAATAACATATTGCGACACTATTTTAACGTGCGCCTTTCTTTGATTGTTTAGGGCCTCAGCCTTATACAAACAACACCCTTTGATAATTAATACATAATTAAATATCAAACAGCCATGCAATAAATCCCAAATATAAGATAAAATATGCTATATCAGAAGAAAAAAAGAATTAATCACAATTTGTAAGTAACCCTCTGGACTAAAACTCTACAAATTAACTTGCCTGACTAAGAACCACCATGCCAGCTTCTTGTGACTCCAATACTCGAAGCCCAGTCCCAATTGGCAATCCCCGTTCCTCTATCTCACGAGACTTATCACAGTCTCGATAGTGGGCTTCCAATAGAGAAGGCAAGTGCATCAACAAGCATGCCATTGAAGGAAGGGTCTCTCCAAACCATTTTATCGATTCCTCACCAGACATCAACTGCAAAATTCCTCAATACATATCAATAAAATATCAACATTTGCGAGAATATGGTTGCTCCTCTTAAACAAATAGAAAAGCTATTGGTAAAAACTCTTCTACTGTCCATTATAACATTTTAACGGTTCTCACAAACGTTCAGTACAAATATAAGACAGCTTATGCACCCAAATTTGTCTATAATTTTATTGACTCTCATAAATAGATAATCACAGAAACCACTTCAAATAAAAGTCAAATTTTTTAAGCAATTGAACGCCCTGCAAAAAAAAATGGGGGATCATAAAATTGCATCACCAAATAGGAGAGCATCAGCGATATACAGTAACACAAATTACAACCAGTAGCAATCAAATCCAAACCCACACGAAACCAACAAAGAAAATCCCAATAAAAAACATTCTAAAGATAAACACTATTATCGAATTCAAAACCCTCAAAATCCATGAAATCCGCACAGTTACAGACCTATGAAAGAAGGCAATATCATACTTACATCATCGAAGAAGAGAGAGTAACCATGGCCACTATCCGTGGCCAAATTATCATCCGAAAACCCTAATTGCTTCCTCAAATCAGCAATGGCGTCAAAAAGGACATGGCCATTAGAAAGTCCACTGAACTCAGGGCCTCTTGACATCGCCTTCAGAGCCTCCAAAACCCTACGCGGCCATGAGAGAGAGAGTTCAGGGCCTGTTGACTTGGCCTTCAGAGCCTCCAAAACCCTACGCGGCCGTGAGAGAGAGAGTTCAGGGCCTGTTGACTTGGCCTTCAGAGCCTCCAAAACCCTACGCGGCCATGAGTGAGAAGAATCCCTCATAACCAGGGGCAAAAGCGGAAGAACGGAGCGTAAATCGCCTCTCTCTTCCATTTTTCGCCTGGAGCTTCGGCGGGAAACGATGACGGAAACGAGGTTCGAGCCAGTGAAATTACAAATAGTCTTCCATCATATGCAAAAAAAAATAAAGAAAACAGATATTCTACTCCCGTATGACTAGAATGTACATGTACTCCCTCGGGTAAAACCCCAATATTATTAATTTTAAGATCTCAAATTTTGAAAACGTAATCTTTCCAGCCGAACGATTAATTTTAATAAAAAATTCTAACTGAACTTTTTATGCGCTTGAAAAATAATTTCACAATATTTAATAGAGATCATCTAATTTTTAGATGGTGAGATTTTTTTTTTTTTTTTGCATAATTAGATGGAAACTGTTCTTTTTGGATGGTCCAATGTTCAAAATTTTCTATTGAATACTAATCCACAACACATTAAGATTAAGAGAAATTCAATTCAGAGCGTAAAGTATAGACGTAAATAAAATCAAAACAAAATATGGTAACCTCGTTTGTTATTTTGGTTAGTAAGGTCATGAAATTTTGAGATCTAAGAGTTAAAAAACCTAAATTTTAATTTTATTAAGAATAATCATCTAATGTTTCTCAAATAGTTTCCAAATTTTTAGATTGAAAAAATCCTCCCGAGCAGGTCTCCGACTAAAGAGTAGAACGCTCTTACATATCATTTGATGGAGAATCTTTTTGCCAGGGAATTGTGCTCACAATACACATTACTTTTCAACTATTTAACATTTTACACTTTATCGTATTTCAAGTTTCCAACTCAACATCACGTGTATTTTGATAGGTATTTTGAAATTAAATCAAAACATAGTACCGGTTGTATTTTGACAGATTTCTCTTTTACAGTTGATAAAATAGTCTATATTATGAAAAATATAGATACATATATATATATATATATAAACTATGAGTGTAGAATATAAAAGGGAACATCTTTTAATTTTTAATATCACAATAAAAAAAATTCTAAATTTTATGAATATAAGCTGGAGTGCTCGCCATTAGGAATCTTTGAGGATATAGAATTTGGATGTTGGTTTTTACTGGTGATTTTAATTATCTTATGTCAGATCTGCATTATTTGTTGAGGTATAAGATGGTGGATGTAAATGAAAACACGTCTAGAATATCTTAAAATGCATTCATAATTTAATTCCCTAATCCCACATTCGGATGAAAGGCATTTTTGGACACGGTTTATATGAGTCCATCTAATTATGAGTCTCCTCTTAAAAATCCATTTTTGAGATGGATTTTTGGCTCCTCAATTTTCAAGGACATATAACCTCCAACATGAAGATCACAAATATGAAAAAATAAATAATTTTAAAAAATATAATAATAATATTATAAAAAAAATATTTGGATAATTAGTTTCATATGGTTTTAGATAGACAACCCATTTGATCCATCTTTAAGATATGCTTTATACTTCAGGGGATACAAATGTAGAAATGCGTCCCCGGAGCAATTTTCCTTTAAATTTTTTCTTTTATAAAATATCAGTAAAAAAGTCAAACCACCGCAACATAAGGACATTTTTAATAACTTTTTTCAAATTTGTTTATGATTATAAACCTAAATGGGGGCATTTTATCTAAATATTTGCGGAGGAACTTACTAAGTAAAAAGGATCATATTAAAGCAACTACTAAATAGGTCCTGAGCGGCCACCCAGAGCTGGGCGCTAGGCGTAGGCGTGGGCGATGTGCCCAAGCCTTCTAGACCACCTAAACGTTGCGCAGTTCATTTTTTAAATCACCGTTTGAAGTGGGCTCTAATTTGATTGTTTAGAGCCTCGGCTCTATATAAACTTTTTCCTTTTTAAATTAGTTTTGTCATTGTGATAGTTTTATTCATAACTTCTTAATTTATCTATTTTTGGTTTCGTCTTGGAAAATGAAGAGACAATAATTGATGAAAAGGAAGATTTTAATATTAGCGAAAGACAGTATGGAAATTCATGGCATGATTTTTATTTGTATTTTTAAAGTACATAAACTAAAATATTTTTCTTTTTTTTGGAAATTAACAAACTAAAATAACTTTATGATATGGATTTGTCTTTTAATTTATAGAACAAGCTCAAGAAAAATAGTATCAATGATTCGTATGTGACCCTCCAATTAGACGCAATAAATATTTTTAAAAAGAAAATTTGAAGTTGTATCAATTTTAGTGTTAGAATCCACGTAACCATCTAATAAAACTATAAATTTTACTTTTCAAACCAAACCTCCATAAGTTTAATCAAGGAATCTCAGTGATAAGTATAATTATTAGGATATTATTTGCCAGGAAATTTATCTGGATATTTACAAATTTATCGTTTTTTGATAATTTATGAAATAATTAACAGGACTTTAATATAGAGTAAGTGTATTATTTTTAGGGAAAATTACATATATATTCATTATATTTGTCATTATTATAAAAATATCTTTTAGTTTTCATTATTACCGATATATCTGTTTTTTAGAAGTCAATAACACTATTTTTCAAAAAGAAAAAAACGGCCCATTTTCGATTTTTAAAAAACCTGAAATTTAAACAATTTAGGTTTTTCAAAAGCCAAACTTATAAATTTGGAGCGAAGTTACTTTAAATGGGTGGGGTTTTAGGGCTGCGATCAAAGGAATCGGACTCTTGAAATTCTTTGAAAATCAGGCGTATTTTATCGTTTTCAAAAGAAATCAGGGAGTTTCGTGCATATTTGCAGCATTAGTGGTGGAAACCACTGAAATCTTTGGTTAAACGGTGAAAGCTCGTGAATGCAGTTGGAAGACTTCCAGGAAAAAATTGAGCGATTATTCTGCAGTTTTATGGAGTTTTAGTTGGAAACCATGGAATCCCCTTATCAGTGGTCGAAATTTCACAAGTAGATTTGGCAATTGGGGGATTAGCACGTCCATTAGAAGCCACATTTGTTGATAGGGGTGCAATGTTTTCATCACTTGTCAAGAATCCAGTGATATTTGCAGGCTTTTTCCGGTGGTCAATTGCCGATTGTCCAGAGTTATCGCGAGATCGGAGAGCCATGGGGTTGGGCAAGAGAGAGAAAAAGGGTTTGAATTCAGTTGTAGTGGTAGGAATTTCCATAGAGAAAGATGGGCTCTTTCAATGAAATTTCAGAGGCCATGAAAGCTGCAGAAAATAAGGAAAAGAACCTCCACAAAGCCTTTGAAGACCTGATTTCTCACTGCTCTTGGCACCCCTTCAATGGCAGGACATTGAAGCCCATTTCGAATTGATCAAGAAAGAAATCAAAGAAACCTTGAAAAGTTAAATGAGAAAGGGAAAATGATGCCAAAACAGAGAATGAGAAAGAGAAAATGATGCCAAAACAGAGAAACACGGATTATAAATTCGGTTGTTCACAACCTTTTTGAAAAACAAAAAAAAGGCAATTATATATTTTTTTTTTTAAAAAGTGTTATGAAATTCAAAAACATATATATTTATAATAACCGAAACTAAAAGTGTTTTTATAATAACAGCAAATATAATGAATGTATACATGATTTTTCCTTAATTTTATAGAAGAAATTTATATAAATATTAGTAAAAAAAATCAAATCACACAATTAAAAGCATAAAATGCGTTAACGATTTTTATGAATAATAAAGTGATATTAAGTTCCAATGTATAACAATAACAAATGTCTAAATTTACTCTCAAGTCTCAACATTAATAGCATTAACTTAATCCCAAGGTCTATTTCTTACCTTCCCTTTCTAAATGCATTTTTATGGATTGAGGATAGGGGTGGCAATGGATCCTGACCGACCTGAGACCCGATCCGGGTTAGGGTATGGGTCATAAAATTGAACCCAGCAAGTCAAATCCGGGTCCAAATCTTGGACCCAAACACTATTCGGATCCCGGTCCAGGTCCCATAACATTGTTTTGGGTCCGGGTCCAGACCGACCCGACCAGTTGCCACCCCCACAAATCATTTAAAACCTTCATAAATCCACTTCTATTGTGAAAATACAATCATGCCCTAAAATCAAATCCAGAGATTCCAAAACAATGAATATTTAACTGATCTACGGTCAACGAAAACGGATGATCATTGTCGCATCTTGCATGATGAAATGACAATTAAGATGAAACACTTTTAACATTAAAAAACCTATATTTTTTCAGGATCTTGACCTCAGAAGTCAGGAGGATGGATTCCCATATTGTTAAGAAATAGATTTACAGACTTTTGGATTCTCAATAATCCAAAATATGGAGAACTAAGGGCGGGCGCCATACTTTTTGACTGCAGCCCCTGGCCACTGCCTCACCAATTACTCTTTCCAAAAAAAAAAAGATATGCCTCACTTTCCATACTGAAATGTCCTGATCTTTCTTGTAAAGAGGGTCCTATTCAAGTCCCAGCATACCATATACTTGACTTTTAACACACACACACTCTCTAGACAAGATGTGTATACAATTTTTTCACCTCAACCAATGCTCCAGAAGAGCTCCACATTAATGGAGCATTATTCTTCCTCTTAGGCCTTCGACTCGAATGCAAGTACAATTTTCGTGTGGCCGACCCCAATTAATTAAGAAAAAACTATGATGATGATGATGAGACATTTGACTCGAACTCAAGTACAATTTCCCTTGTGAATGAACTTATTATAACTTGGATCCACCAAAATTTATTTTTAAAATTGCCCAAAAATATATAAAAAAAAGCAAGGAGCTCTCTTTCTAATGAAGAAAAAAATAAAGAAAAAAAGAAGTCAGTGATCTATCAATCTAAAATGCAAATCTTGAAATCCAATGCCGCAACACTCTTAACCAAATAGAGAAAAATTAAATGGGGCTTCTAAACATAAAAATAAACTAGTGATGTCACCTGTACAAATTTATATAAGAACTAAGAAGTCCTGCCATCCCAAGAAGACCAAAATGGACAGTTATCATATATGTGTAAATCCAACATCTTCAGTTTTTACCCCATTTAAACCCCAGTTTCATTCTTTCACGGCACTGCAATCAAGAATCGAATTACTACAGTTAGGTGAATAACAAAATTTTAAGTAGTTATTAAATAAAGGGATATATCATTTAAGGGATTATAACCCCTTACAGAACCATAAGGAGGATAAAAAATCCCAATTATAATTAGAAGATTTACTTCCAATGCACTACCATCTGATCTCAACTCTAAACAAAAAAACAAAAAAAATATCTACTTTTTAGTTTTCCTTTTTTCACCTAGGTACTCCTCAAAAATGCCCAAATTACCTTTATTCAGGGTTGGGAACCCCGAACAAGCAGGGTCACTTTGATAATTGACCCACCTAATAAGAGGTCCCAACTAAATGATGAGAGTAACCCTACTTATTCAAGGTCAAATTACTGAAATGCCCTACTTTGTTTAGGATTTCCAACCTTGAAAAAAGGTCATTTGGGCATTTTCTAATATATTTTTCAAAAAGGTAAATGAGTGAAATGAAAAATAAAAAGTACACCCTCCAATGTCAACTGAGATCCTTTGACCCCCTAGATGATTTTCCAAAGGAAATATGTCCAATAAGACCATTTACTTTTGGTATGAGAAAGTCACAATCATTATCGATCTTTAGTTGTGAAATGTGTTAGATGTGAAATCTAGTGGCTGGGGGTGTGCCATTGACTGAGCACAAAGTCCAAAATAAATTTCTCAAACTATGTACACTTTAAGCTGTTGGTTTTTATATCTAGTGGCTAAGAGTAATTGTGACCACTTATACCATAAGTGAATTATCTTACAGTATACAAATCCCTTTTGTAAAAAGGTTTAACCCATAATTAATATTTTCAATATTTTCCCATGAATAAATGAATATGGTGTAAAGGAAGCAAAGTGTAGAGCTGCTTACCATGACAAAACCAATCTCCTTGGTATAATTACAGGTTAACTTTCTGTAAAACATGGGCCCCTACTTCATAATTGTGGGGTTTTTCCACATGTCCAACTACAATGACAGAATCAAATTGAGAGATTAAGCCCTGTAAATAAAAATAAAAAAAGCCCCAATATGATAAAGAAAGAGAGCAAAGATTTTAAAGTCAAATATGATATTCCACCAAGTAAAAGCATACCATAATCCAGTAAGTATGGTATATGGCAATCTAAGTGACATCCACTATCTGTTCCTGATAGTGGACGGTGGAAATTAGTTGTAATGGAGCACACAAAAAAAATCTCCCAAGTGCAGTAAATATACCGTCCATTGTTGGGAACAGATGGTGGATGCCTCCTTGTTTGCAGTACAGACTGTCATACCCATTGGATTATGATATTAATCTTCCACAAAAAAGGGTAAACATCTTGATATTCAATCGAAGGAAAATATGCGTATTGGAACACTTGCAAGACCCTGGCTGCACACAGATAGGAACTGTATCCAAGTCATCATATGTTTGAACAGATAAATGCTAACAATCATATTTGTCAGCATTTCCTTCTTTTTTTTTCGCCAACTTAAAAGAAAATGACTGAAATATCTGTTGATGAACGTATCATACAAAAACCTAGCAAATATTTTCGCGCACAATGCACCAAAAATGCCGGCATTTTTAGTCACGAATGAGAGAGAGATATCTAACACATAACACACCAAAATGCCACTCACATTGATAGGGCACTAAACCAGCATACTCATAAAAAAATATTAACTCACACATTTGACACACAAATAGCACATGAGGGCCAGATTTAATGATCTAAAAATTAAAACTAACCCACCCAAGTGTGGAAGGTCGTTGTACTAAACAAACATACATGACCACTGCATCATAATGTAATATCAGCCACAATGAATAGAATAACTTTCTCCACACTTAAGATCAACTATGATGACATATCAAGCTTCTTTTAGGCATCAGACATATTTTTAAGTTCTCACTCAGTTATGGAGACTCATCAGGCTCCTCTTATACATAACAACAGTCAAGGCACCCGTGAAATTGAATGCTTTCAACGATGAAGAGACTATACAGATTCTATACTTACCCAACAAGGAAGTTTCTCAAATGGCAGCAAACTGGAAAGAACGATCAGTCTCGGAATCATGGAAGGCAGAAGGCTCATTCATATCGAGGCGAGAACTTGTTAGAACAACCCTGTCTTGATCAACCATTTTATCATTAGAAACTGACAACATACTTAATAGTAAAATAACTCCAAATTCCAACAATGAGAACATATATTAAATGATGCACTCTTGATGGGTTTGAATGGGGTACATGCAAAACGATGTTTTATATGAATGCATAAACAATGGTATAAGATGCAATAAATAAACCATATTGTAACTCACGTAGTTCCATCAAAGAATTCCAAACGCTCTTCACCGATCCCACCATTCTGCTGACTTATTGGGGCCACAAACCCAACGATATCAGAAGTGGGCCTAAAGAAAGAAAACCATATCGACATTCAAATACCCCACTAGAAAATAATGACATTCAAACACCCCAATAACAAAAGGTTGTCTGCCCCCTTTGCCTACACACAGAAAATGATTAAAAAATAAATAAAAATTATATTTACTTAAAGAATGAAGAAATTTTACATCAATGCTTTTCATATTACCCCGTATTGGCTTTATTTGGACATTTGCGTTGGTCATGGCCAACACCTTTGCAAATAACACAATGTCTTTTCCTCTTGGTTTGCTTCTCCAAAGAGTGTTTAATTCTAGGAGGATGTCCTTTTGTACTTTCTGATTGACTTACTTCGCAAATAGTTGTTTCAATAATACCACCATTTGCTGGTATGCCTGTGCTAGGCTGAGCAACTGGCCCTACAATTCTTCTTGCACCAATAATATCTTCGAGAGCTTTTCGTAGAGTACGCATTGCAAAATTGAAGACATCTTTATTCGCTGCCCCTTCGGTTGCACATTTAATGGCCAATCGGCATAGTTCATTATATCTCAATATTCGAGATGTGTGAGACTCAGCTTGCAATTCTACCCCATTCTCATCAAATACAGGGCCATTTGTGGCATTCCTTGTCCACCGTTTCACGATATAGTGGGATGGGAGCTCCATGACATTTTTCATTCTGAAGACTATTAAAACATGCCTACAAAGAATGCCACCATGCTCAAACATTTGACAGTTACAACTCGCTCTTACGTCAACTGCATTGAAAGTGACAATGTATGCTGGCTTTTGAGCCCCATATTCAGCCACCCTAAATGTGCTAGTGGGTGCATCCTCTTCAGTTATTTCAGCGACAAAACGAAGACTTTCTAATAACTCATCCTGAAATTTCAGGAACATTACTCTCGTATAAATATCTGCCACTTGGGTTTCCATGGGAAATCCTGTCTTCATATTCGGTTTGTCAAAACTTGTATTGAAGTCCTCTTCAAGTTCCATTTCATACTGCTTGTCAAGGGCCTTCTCGCATTGTTTAACAAACACTTGCAAGCTGGAGTTTGCATTCAAGTACCCATCAAAAAAAGTGTAGATTCCTTCACTTCGCCCGCCAGTAGAAATATTAGTGAAGAATACGTCTTGCAAGTAAACATGCAACCATTGTTCACGACTATTGTGGAGCAACTGGAGCCATGCATTATCCCTAAGGTCATATTTATAAATGAGAGACATCCAACATGATTCAAACTCACTCATGGGCCCAGACATATTGATACATTCAGAGAAATCTCCTTTGAAATTTGGATGCCTTCGGGCCACAAGGCCCAACTTCTCTTGGAATTTTCTGTGAATGTGCCACTTGCAAAATCGATGGCCAGTTCTTGGGAACACCTTAGCAGCGGCTAATGTCATGGCTGCATTTTGGTCAGTAATTATTGCAACTGGATGGCGACCCGACATAGCTTCAAGCCATGTACTAAACAACCACACAAGTGATTCTTCTGTTTCGTCTCGAAGCAATGCACATCCAAACACGACATACTGGTTATGATGGTTGACCCCTACAAAACAAGCGAAAGGCATTCCATACCTCTTCGTCTTATACGTAGTGTCAAAGCTAACAACATCACCAAAGTAACTGTATGCTATCCTTGACCTGGCATCCACCCAGAAAAAATTGGCTACATGATCTTCTTCATCACTTTGAGTTGCATAAAAGAATGCTTGGTTCTTTGCTTGCATACAATTGAAATATTGTAGTACCTGTTGAGCATCATTTTCAAGGTTCGTTTTCCGAATGCACTGGATATGATTCTTGCAGTCTTGCAAGTTGCACCCAAAGCTGGTCGGGCCAACTGGCTGGCTCCCCAATAAAGACCCATTGCTTGACTTTATTCCTGAATCATTGAAAGAATTATTGGAAATTCCAATAGCATCAGGTTGCCTACGAGTTCTTGGACGAGGCACTTTTTTTGGAGGCACCAATGCATGACTATGCTCCTCGGAAAATTTTGAGACAACCCACTTTCCACTGTCTTCCTTCTTTACACGTAACATGGCCTTGCAACCTTCCCTAGTTTTCGGTCGTGGCCTTAGGGTTCCTTGGTATTTCTTTGCACGAAAACCTTCTTTGGAGCACACAAAATCTCGCCCAATGTTTGTTCCGTCACGCTTTGAACGCAAGACCCTATTGGACCTTATGATAAACCCCACACGCAAAGCATATGCAAGGTAGTATTCCTTTGCATCTTCCTCAGATTCAAACACCATACCCACAAATGGATCGACATGGTCTGACACTTCAGCCTTTTCAATAGGTGTGATTTCCTTTGCCATTTCCTTTGGAGCATCCCCAGATTCAAAGCCCATATACTGATCACCACTTTCATGTCTTTTCAGTTCATACAATGCCTTCTCTGCAACAGTGTCAACATTTACTGCCAAGTTTTCTTGAGCGGCATCATGTTCAGGAACTATACCACCTTGATTTGACGCACACTCTCCTTCATTTGTGCTGTTTAGCATGGTTGAGCTCAAAAAGCCTACAACAAGTAAATTAACATACTACATATGATCCTGAATCTCACAAGGAAAAGATAAGGCATGTTTTATCCTATTGCAGTCCAAGATATTTAAGTACTTAAAGATTGTATCCATTTTGATTTCTCCATCACAATACGTACCAGAGGTCAACTGTAACAGAAACTTTTAAAGGACAAGCATCCGCTTAATCTCATCAAATAAATCAACACAAGTTAGAGAAATCAATTTCAACAAAAAAAAAAAAAGGATTTGGGCTGGGATTTATTGTTAAGGTGTTGACAACTCAAAGAAATCAACGCACATCAGAGAAATCAATTTAAACACAAAAAAAAATAAAAAAAAGAGAGGATTTGGACTGGGATTGATTGGTTGGGGTGTTGACAATTGCAGCACCCGATATTCAAATCCTGCCACTGAACTACCCCAAAAAAAAAAAACAAGAGAAATTAATAAGATTCATAATTCATTCATAAATTTCCAATTGTCGATAGAGCACCTCATCAAAAAAGATGACAGAGACATGCATTATGGCTAAACATGACCAGTTATAACAAAGAAGATGAAAAGCCTATAATGCACAATACTGACAATGATTTAATGGATAATAAACAAATTCAATTATCACAACTAATTAGAACAGAACATAAAAGCATGAAATATCAGACACCACCATCACTGTTAAAATAGAACTAAAAATATATGAATTGAGCTAACAGGTTGAAATCAACATACACAAACAAGAAAAATAATCCAAAATATGGAGTCAAAAGGAAACAAATGAAACAAAAAATAATTGGAAAGTGCACCATACACAGCCTATGTATGGGGAAAGGTTGCACAGACTGTGTGTGGAGACAGTACACAACATGTGTATGGCACATCATACACAGCCTGTGGATGAAAGGCTTACACGGCATGTGTATCATCCACATGTTGTGTACCACGCACAGGCTGTGTATGGAACTTGTTAATTCCCAATTTTAACCAGATTTGGCAAAGAAGAAAGAAAAATCAAAACACTTCAAAGTTCAAACAGTAGTTACAATGGTGAAATCCCCAGTCATGGAGTAATGAGTCAAATTACAAATGGATTTAGACCAATTTCCCCATAAATTCTATTGAATTTGGGTCCAATTTAATTATTTTTTTGAAAAAAAATAACTTCCCACTTAAATTATCAAATAAAGAAATTCATTCCACTTCAATTATTGAAAAAAAAAAAAAAAATTTCATTCTGCTTCACCCAAAAATCGTCCCACTACTATACTGATTTATCAGAATTTTAGACCATTTATCCCATAAAAATAAACTAGGGTTTTAGAGAGAAATATGTGATGATTGTGCTTTGTCCAAAATTGGGGCAACCATTATGCTCAAATATCATATAGTTCAAGTCATTTTTTTCCATGAGTAAAGAAAAGCTATGACTTTTAGAGACAGAATTCATCGCAGGAAGGGATAGAGACAGATGTTCCTTACATGGAGCTCCAACACTGCAATGGCGTAAAGAGAGAGAGTATTGCAGAAAGACTTCTTCTATCTTCGGATGAGAGAGAAAGCAAGGGAAGGGTTTACCAAGGAGGAAAGTGTAGATAGAGAGTAGAGACCTGAGCAGAAAGTGGAAATTTTAGAGAGAGAGAGAGAGGAAATCCCAGAAGAGAGAGGTTTTGGATTTTTAGAGAGAGAGAAGGTGGTAGGAGAAAATAGCAGAGAGAGTAAGGTTTTAATTTTAGTGGAGAGAGATTTTGATGCGCATGGGATCCAATCGAACGGCTAAAACAAGTTGTCACACTGACCCTTCAACTCTTCTGAAAAGTATATACCATACGCAACTTGCGGACAGTAACAGTGAGTCAACATTTGCTGATGAAAATTCTGGGAAATTTACTCTAATATTTTATTTTTAAAAAAATTGTTATCAATATGTTGTAGCTTACGCTCATGTTCCGTTTTTTTTTTTTTTTTTAACTAATGCTTGAGCTCGGTTTTCAGAAGGAAAAATATATGGAAATTATCGTAAATATATATTAATCTAAGCTTAATTTGAAAAAAACTTCAAACTTTTATTTACTTCGTCTACACTTTTTTTCTTTTTTTTTTAATCAAAATGACATTCATGGTACTCTTACTATCGTAATACATATCATTTTACACTTTATTTAAAATATCATAGTAACTTCAAGTAATATTACAATAAAACTCTGGATATGGTCATGAAGCCAATTACGGTATTTTAAGTACTGTAAAAGCTAAAACTCATTACATGGCATTTTAACTACCGTAAAAACTAACCCATCTTATATGGCATTTAAAATGCTATAAATCCTTTTGTCATTATGTTTATCTATTTTTTTTCTAATTTTTTTTTATGTTTATCTCTTATTTCTCTCTATAATTCTTTTTAATATTTATCTCTTGTTTTTCTTTCTAATTTTTTTTTATCTCTTTTTTCTCTCTCTACAATCTCATCATCATTTCTTTAGATAGATAATGTCCTTTGTTTTGCATAGCCGAAGTCTATATTTGATTACTCTCTCTAAGGAAACAATGATGAGATTGTAGAGGGAGAAATAATAGATAAAAAAGAATTAGAAAGAGAAATAATAAATAAACATAAAAATAAGTAAAGATGAAAGAGATAAACAAGTTTATGACATTTTAAGTGCCTTATAACATGGGTTAATGTTTGCAGTATTTAAAATGCTGTATAAAATAGTCTCAGTATTATTGCACTAAAAGTACCATATAAAACTCCCTAAAGTATTACGGTAATATGACTACCTTGAAAGTCATTTTGGTAAAGAAAAACCGAAAACGAGAAACAATGGTGCAAGTGAGCTAAACAAAAGTTTGAATTTTTTTTTCAATTAAGGTATATTTACGATAATTTTTCAAAAGTATATATATTATACACCCAATGTCAAAGTTCAAAACAAATTAATATTGACCGTATGTAAAATTGGATGGTTGTATCGTTCCATCAACTAATCTCAAAGTTCAAAACAAATTTTTTAGAACTTTGTAATACACTCAAGCTATCACATTTCATATTGGATACTTGTAAGAAATTGTGATGTGTCTGTGTCAAAGGTAAATGGTCTCATTATATACAATATTTTTTTTAAATCCAAAAGTATCAAAATTCCTAACACGTTCTGATTATGATTACGAAAATTCAAACCCAATTCCGACTTCGTGGTCTATTTACCCTCGTCAAATGTACTCTGTGGTGGATTTGAGTTTAGCGTTTTAAAAACCAAACCGATTAGGATTTGAAAATCATAACCAGTCGGTGAAAACAACTTCAACATTTTTTGGTTTGGATTTTGAAAGTCTACACCTGCAGTATTTTAGGGTAAAACAAAAACAAAAAATGGGGATTACGAATACAATTTTTAATTCTTAAAAGGGGGAATATTAATGTAAATTTATCTAATAGTTACCAAAATCTTTTTTACATTTGGAAAAGTACATAACGAGACTTTTGACTTTTTTTATAAAATAGTCACAATTAATCTTGACTATTGAATGTGAAATTGAGTAACTGCGTTTATTTTATTGACCAAACTCAAATTTCAAAATAACTTTTTAAAATTTTGAAACACACCCAAGCTATAAAATTTCACATCGGATTGTTGTAAGCAATTGTAACCACCTTTATATCAAAGGTAAATAGTATTATTATATACAATCCCCATTTGTATACAAAAACAAATAAATTTATGAGTAACCCCCACCCACACAAAACAAACACAAAAAAAGAAAAAATATTAATTTTAACACCAAAATACCCCGATTTTAGCTCTCACATTTGTCGTTTTCTTATCACGCTCCTACTTTCTCTTTTAAGAGAGCCCGACACATTTTATGTTTGACCGGCACAATTTGAATATAGAAACTGATATGGCACATTTTGTGCGAGACCAACAAAATTTCAACATAAGCTAGTCTCAGGCTTTTTGTGCAAGACAGGCAAAATGTTGTTATCAGAGAAGCCAATCCAACACATTTTTCTTGTTGATCCGCACATTTTTGTACCAAACCAGTGTTAGTATTTTTTGTTTGAAAAATGCTTTAGTGTATTTTAAAACAACATTTTAGTTTTATTGTACTTTCTTAAAATGCCTTGGTAGAGAGATGTGGGTTTGAGTCACATATTGAATATAAGAGAGTTTGTTGAGCTATATTTAAGAGCACGCATTCCCATGTAATATACTCTAAGTACAAATGAAATAAAAGACGTATATGTAGGGCACGCGAAGCGTGTTATGCATAGTGTGAGGACATAGGCACAATGGTGCTTGATGGCGTACTTTGCACTTTTTAGTCATTCATCTTGGTGCTCTATAACAAGGACCCGGTTAATTTTTTACAGCACACTTTTAAGCCTCTCAATGCACATTTTCTTTGCAAATTCCAGCAAGCAAACAAGTGGGCTAACTCTCTCTCTCTACTCGATTTTTTCTCTCTCTCTAATACATCAAGACTCTGGTGTTTATTTTGTGGGTTTTAGGCTCGGGTGCATAAAGCTTAAGAACATTGTAAAATCCGCTATGTTTTCCTATATCCCGATGACTAGTTGCATTTCTTATGCACATCAAATTCTATATCAAAGGGGGATAAATATCGTATTGAGATAATACTTATATGTATCCGAAACTAATAAGAGTTTGAGATCCATTTTTACAAATCATACCATTTTCTTTCACCCACCAAAATCCAACAATTAGCACATTTTGAAGACAATAAGCATGTCCAACACACTTTTGTGTTGGAGCAACATTTGCGAGGTTTTGCATTTTTTGAGATAAACATGGGTTAAAATGGATGCGATTTGATAAAAAAAATCAAACTTTTTATTGGAGTTAGATGCAAGAATAAATAATATCGAGGGTTAAGAGTGTGATTTAAAAGGTATCGAGGAGAGGGGTGTACATATTTTTCCATAAAAATTACAAAAACAATAATAATATATAAAATTACCGAAATAATCAAAATATCCCTAAATTTGTACAAATGTATTGGTGTTATTTATATTTAATTGTTTTTTTTTTACTTTTTACAAAAGTGTAGTAGCAAGTAAATTGTGAAACCATTTATCTTTTTTACAATGAAGTCACAATTACTCATAGCTATTAGATGTCAAATTGGATGGCTTGGGGTCTGCCAAAAAGTTTGATAATTTTGTTTTGAATATTGAGTTTAGTCGATGACGTGTTCACAACACCCCATTTGAAATCTAAATAACAATAGTGATTGTGAAAAAAAATTGCTTCATGCAAGACCGCATTTCTACAATATGTTGTCTTGTGGTATAAAGTACCCATCTTAAAGATAAATGCAGATAGGTGGTCCATAAAAAAACAATTTAAATTAACGGTCTTAATATTTTCTTCATAAAGTCATTATTTTTATTTTTAAAATTTATTTGTTTGTTCTTATATTCATGATCTCTATGCGAGGGATTACATGTCCTTAAAAATTGGGCCTGAAAGTCCATCTCAAAAATAAATTTTAAGAGTTGACGCATTTCTACATGGACACATAGAAACCATGTCAAAAAGTAAATGGCCTATTTGTATACTTTTTCTAATAAATATTATGAACACTTTATAAATATGAGATGTTTGCATAAATTTCCATGTTATCAATCAATACCCAGATATTTATCCATCTAAATCACTTCAAATTTTCAAGATCTGAAGTATCTACTAAACCAAAATAATTTGAATTTTTAATTTTTGAAATACTCTAAGGCCTCGTTACAATAAAAAGTTCAAACTTCAAATTCTCATAATGTATAGATTTTTTATTTTTTGAATGCATAACAAAATGCACTATTTTTCAAACTTGAAATATATATATATATATACATCTCGAGATTGGGATGATCAATTCGAGGGTTTTTCAACATTGAAACAATCTATTGTAGTGAATTTTTAGGTGCCTATTAATTTGTTTGTCTAGGGCCTCAACCTTATATAAACCTTTTTTTTTCAAAAAAACTGTGAACAAATTGAATACAGACATGGCAATATGATAATTTTAAGATTTGTTTACAAAATATTATATTTTCAAGACAAACTTATGAACAGGGTTTTGGTGAGTCACCAACTCACTTGTTACCGTGCAGTACCTTGTGTATCTAACATCCATCTCTAAGATGGATGCCATGCAAAAAAAAATGTCATATCCACTAAAAGTCAAAATGGACGATAAAAAAAAAGTAAAATTTATTTAGAAAAAATTCCAAATTTAGATCAGTTGAGAGGACATGGTTTTTATGAATCCATGTAGAAATGTATCAGCTTTTAAGAATCTATTTTTTAGATGGATTTTTTTACTTAATTTTGAAGGATATGTAATCTGTTACATGGAGATTATGAATATATATATATATATAACTAATTAAAAATTAAAAATAATAATTTTATTAAAAAAACATTTTGACCGTTGGTTTCAATTATTTTTAAATCTTCATGCATCGGGGATCGCAAATAGAAATGCGGTCATCGTCGCATGAAACAATTTTCCCAAATTTTAAATTGAAAATACATGAGCCGGGTGACTCACCAAACACTTGTCGTAAACTTATGTCCTTATTTTTTTACCCTATAAAAGCCCAATAAACGAGCCCAGAGTCTCGTGATATCAATGGCTTTCGTCATTAAACCTCGAGCACTTAGCATTTCGCGCCCTAGTTTAAATCGAGCTGCCCCGGTCGAATCCGTTAAACCTCGGGCATTTTGCCCTAATTCTTATCAGTCTCTGCGATTTAGCTCTGGTTTGATCGGATTGTCATCGAATATCCCCAAATCAAGGTAAAAATGTAGCTCGTAGTCCGAATTCCTAAAATAATTAAACCAGCATTGATTTTTTTTTTTTAGCTCTCTCTCTCTCTCTCTCTCTCTGTGTTTCTTTCTGAAAAGCTTGACTATTGTTTTCGGGTTTTTGCCATGCCTATTAGGTTTATATTTTAATTAATGTTTTTTGAGATTATCTTTCACGTTTAAAAGACTGAATCCTGTCTTTTGTTGATGGGTTATTTCTGTCATTTTGTCTTCTTTTTTCTCGGCATAAATGTTTGTTTCTTCAGTTTTATGAGCAAATAGTTGATGGGTGCCGAAATTTCAACTATATTTTTTCTAGACTGGTTGTATTACTGGTTTCTCGTTTTTATTGGATGGGATTTCTCCTTAATGATAAAAATGCGATCAACTCCCCAAGGGTGATCTCTCTCTCTCTCTCTCTCTCTCTCTCTCGAATTTAACATGTCAAAACACAGTCTCTCAATTCTACAGTGGGCTGTATTTCCTCCTAATTTTTATGATGGCCTACCTAGTCTTGCTTCATTGGACCATGTGACCCATAATTATGATGCCCCCATTGATGCTTCTCCTCTGTTTTCAGTGCACTGAAAGTTTCTTATGGCGAAGCCTTTGCACCTAAAAACTCTGTAGGCTTAAAGATGATCTCGTGCTCAAGAATTGTGTGTTCTGAACTATCTTCTGATGAGGAACCATCTTCTCCTTCGTCTCCAGATAATATTGAATATAATGGGTCGTCCCTTGAGGTATTCATATATAAGATATATTCATTACTGTGCAGGCGAAAAGAAAAAAGAAAAAGAAAGATATAGGATACATTCGTTACTCAGTGGATTGTTTTTGATAGTCAAATTGAATTTTTGTCTATAATTTCATGTGTACATAGGAAGCAGGATTTGATCTAAGGCTACCAAGGAGGAGCTTGATGGTTCAGTTCACATGCGATGCTTGTGGTGTGAGATCTCAGCGTATCATAAATAGAGTAGCCTATGAAAGAGGGACTGTTTTCCTACAGGTACTTTATAATTCGGGTGTTATGGCTTTTCCTTATGTGCTCATCAGCTCATTTCAGCACTCTTCTATTGTAATTATCAAATTCATGAACCACTTAGGTGCAATTATCTTTTGAACTTTTGTCTTTCTTGCTTCCAAGAGGTTTTGGTGGAAGGCAGGAAATCTTTTTGCGTATAAGTTGAGGGAAATGCATAAAAGATGGTGGGAAAATGGTTGAATAAAATTGGAAACTGTTGAAGCATTTGGGTTTTGTTCTTTATCATAATAGGTTACCGGTTTAAAAATAGACAATGTAAGTATGTCATTATTCAAACAAAATCTCAAGGGAACTAGAAATCGATGAGTTGCATACCAGATGAACTGAAGAGGATGAGAGAATGTGGGTCATGGCCTTGTGAACTTTGTTCTTGTTGTTCTATTACCTCTTCAACCTAGATCTCGATTATTCTCTCCACGATTAACTTTCATCAAGAATTACTTGTTGAATTATATTAGCAGCTCTCCTTAGTTTAGAATTGGTTTAGTATATCAAGACTGGATTAATGTTAATCCTTCACTAAAAATATATGTTGGCTGTATTAGAAGTTTAATATGGTTTTGTTTTTAGCATTGGACAACAATCAAAGTTTAGGGACCAAAGGTCTCAAAGGAACTAAAATATACTCTCAACTAAGTGGCGATTCGGGATGGATTGCGTACGTAGATAGCAGGGTTCTACTAATTGGAAACAAAAGCCTGGCATTATTTATCTCTCACTAGTTTAGCATGTTTCGTGGTTTTATGAGTGATTAATATTACCCAGTCTTTTAAATATGGTTTCTAATTTGTAGTAAACTATGGGAGTGATCTTGATTAGTGTTATTAATATGCTCTGAATGTGTCTTTAGATGATGGTCCCTTAATGCAGGTATGAGACAAGTAGATGCAATTTTTTTTTTTTTTTAGAGATTATAATATGTAGTTGTTTACTTATCCACTATCACGAGACATTATCCCATATTAAAAAATAAAAAATTGTACGATTTAGTTAGAGGACGTAACTTTTGCAGAACTACTTTCCTTGAAAGAGGGCCCTTTATATATTGATAGTTGGGGGATTATACTCATACAAATATTACATTAATCTATGATTGAGTAGAGAGACCTAAGCAAGTGAACTGAAGTATTTGGGAACTTTTATTATTCATCATCATCATCCAAGCTTTATTCTAACTATTTGGGGTTGACTGCATGAATCAGATCATAAGTCACCATATCTCTTCTTACTACTTTCATCCATATCCTCTTGGGCCTTTTCTTGCCATTTTAGAGTCTTCCACTTGAACTAAATCACCAATTCAAAGCAAGAGCTGTATTAGGTCTATGCTGCACATGGCGAGCTCACCTAAGTCACTTTCCCTTATCTTATCACTCATTGGCGCCAACCATAAGTTCCCTTGTATGTATTCACTCCGAATTCTATCCTTTCTTGTCATGCTACTCATTTATCTCAACATCATCATTTTAGCTATACTCATCTTATGGATATATGGTTTCTTTATCGCCAAACATTCTACCCCATAAAACATGATTGATTTTATAGCTGTCCTATACAACTTTCCTTTTAGTTTCATTGTTATGAGGCAATCACTGAAAGCTTCAGATGCACATCTCCAAGTCGCCCACCTAGCTCTAATTCTATGTGCGCGTCTTTTCAATCTCTCCATTCTCTTGGATTATAGACCCAAGATATAAAAAATATTATGTTTTAGGTATTTCTTGGCCATCAATCTTAACTACTTCCGCCTTTCTACTCTATTATTACTAAAATTGTATTTTCCTTTATTTTGTCTTAGTTCGGTTAATTTTAAAATCTTTAGATTCCAGAGTATCCTTTCAAAGTTTTAAATTTACGTTGAGACGTTGTTTCTATTCTCATCAATCAAAACTATGCCATCCATGAACATTATGGTATCTCATTTTGTAGATGCCTTGTTAACTTGTTAATAACCAAAGCAAAGAGATATGAGCTCAATGTTAACCCCTGATGTAGGCCTATTATCACTGAAAGCTCACTTGTCTCTCCACTAGTTATCCTAACACTGGTTAGAGCTCCGTTGTACCTATCTCTCACCATGTCAATATATCCTCTAGAGACTCATTTCTTTTCCAACATCCACTAAATTAACTCTCTAAGTACCCTATCTTATGCTTCCTCTAAATCAATAAAGATCATGTGATGTCTCTTCTCTTCTCCCTAAACTTCTTAATCAGTTGCCTAGGTACAAAAATAGTCTCAATTGTTCATCTCCCTGGTATAAAGCTGAATTGACTTTTTGATACATTCATTTCATATCTTAATCGTTGCTTAATCACTCTCTCCCACAACTTCATAGTGTAGCTTATAATTTTGATCCCTTGATACTTTGTGCAATTTCATATGTCTCCTTTATTCTTGTAAATAGTTACCACAATACTTTTTCTCCATTCATTTGGAATTTCTTCTGTTTTCAAGTTTTAACCATCTTGTTGAATAGCTTGGTTTGCCAAAATATGCAATCTCTCCCATGCACATCCAAACCTCTATTGGGATACTATCTGATCCTAAAGCCCTTCTTAAAACCATATGTTCATCTATATTAAGGTTGGGTCACAATTCCAATCCATCAGTCTAAGCTAGTTTTCCATTGAAGAGCTATTGAAGCAAAGGCATTCCCCATCGATGCCACCAAATAGTCTCATCCTGTTGAGAATCGGTTTGGTGGCCATCATATGGCCGCTTTGGATGGAGGCTCAATGTAGGACATTTCGGGGGTGATGTCCACAGAGGCTTTTAAATTTAGAGAAAAAAAGGGAGGGGGGGGGGGGGGGGGGTAGGCAGTGTCAAGTAAAGGATTTTGGGGGATTTAAGTAGCTAATCTTGATAGACAATGGGGAACTATAGCTTGTAGGTGTTTATTGCATCCTAGAAACCCCTAAATTTGGCTCCCCAACTCTCTTGGCAACCATGAAGCTAAATTTCAATAGTAGCCGAAAGTGAAATCCAGGGCTGGCAAGAATTGGGGGTATTTTCACGTCACACATGCTCTACCATACTCACTCAGTTCTTGCAGGGCCATGCGATTCCAATGATGTAGAGACTTTGGCTTTTAACGGACATTAGACTGTAACAATCAGAGTGGAGCCCAATGTTTTAGGAGATTTATAAGATGTTATGTCCTAACTGGATAATGCCTTGGAGGCTACCCCACCTGTACAATGAAATTTTAGAAAGATGTACACATTTTGAGGTTTCATGTTCACATGGATAATATGCTTGCTGATCTTAGCAGAAGAGTGGGTTGGGGTTTAGTAATTCACACCTACTCCCCCCGTCTTTTCTCTCTCTGTCTCTCACACCTTCTTGGTGTTACTTTTGTACCTGTAGTTTGTCAAGAGCCTTATACATTTACATCTCATACATGTTACTGGCATACCATCAGAAAAGAAAGAGATATTCCATTTGATATTCCATTTTCTTGAACTCTTGTGTTGCAGCCTTTGTCAGTTTGATTTATTGTGTATAGGGAAAAACCATTATAATGAATATTATAAAAATATTCAATGAGACCATTGTGTTTGGTGCTAAAAGGTAACAAACATTCTAATATGTCAAATGTGAATTTGATGACAGGGGGCCGTTATTGATCTTGCTCAAAGTCTGCCGATATTTTCCTTAATACTTTCTGCAGACCCCAGCCTGTTAGATTTCACGTCAGATGGCTTAGGTGTTTGTTACCTTTTTGTGCCACTGGTTATGTTCTCATTGTACCCAGCCCTTGATTTTGTTATGTTTAAACTTTAGATTACATAAGTTAAAATCTTACCCAGAAAAAAGAAAAGCAAAAAGAGTATGTTATTTAACATAATTGTTTTTTTTTTATGTAAAAAGTTTGTATAAGGTTGTAACTTTGTAAGGTTGCAATAATCTTCACCGTCCATTTTATTTGGATGGTGTAGATTGAACACTATCTTAAAAGACATGCCATGTATTGACATTGTCTTAAGGGACGTGCCGAATCTATACCGTCCAAATAAAATGGACAGTGTAGAGCATCAACCTTACTTCCATGCTAAGGTTCTGTTTGGACACATTAATGGTCATTTTACTGAAATAGCCCTGCTTACCTTTATGACCAATCCTGAAAACTGTAGTCTCAAGTGGTCATAGTCATATCAAAGATGTTTGACATTGAGTAGAAACTGGACTGGATTCTTTTGGTGGAATTAAGGATGACCTTATTCATATTTTTATTTTTGGTGTTAAGGATGTTTTGGCTAGGAAGGAAAAGAAGAGAGAGAGAGGTGGGTGTGGGGGCAGCTGCTGTGTCCAGCCAAGCTCGGCCTAATCACTCTTTAATGGCTGTATGAAAACAATGGTAGTCTTGTCCAGAATTTGTGCAACCAAACAGGGCCTAAGGATTCAGTTCCATTTATTTTTCGTATCTGAAATTAATAACTTCCTTATTCATATTTTAATTGTTGCTCTAGTATCCAATGAGGTAAGCAAAAAGAAATGAGTTGCGTGATAGAGGAAGAATGTGCTCCTTAGCCCAGTGTACTTGGCTATCTATTCATTTCTTCAACCTCGATTGACTTTTTTTCTTTTCTTCCCAATAATTAACTCTCACTAAGAATCATTGGGTTGAGTTATCTTTGGATTTTAGTTTTGACATGGTTTTTGTGTATTTGAATAGTAAACCAAGATGGGAGATTGATACTCTTTCATTGAAAATTTTTAAGTTGGCTTCTTTTTTTGTTCCGAGCATTTGAACATCAACAAGCATGGAGGGGAGAAGGCTTGGAGGAGCTAAAATGTACTCAAGGTTATCTAATGGTGAGGAATTAGAACACATGCATAAGAATTAGGCTCTATTAATTGAAAGCGAAGCCAAAAGATTATAGGCTCCTGCTGGGGCATATCATCCGCTCACTGCCTCGGGCAAGTCCTATCTAGGAGTATTTTTAAGACTCCAATTTGGGGATATAACCTCCTTAATCTAGCAGCCAACGTATTAAAAAAAGAAGGAATCATACGTACTCAATGTGTGCCTGAGAAAGGTAGTCGTAAGATAGGCCATCCAATTTTTGGACAGTCTAATCTGAATGTTTAGAAACTCAAACTACTATTTCTCTTTGTTTTTAAATTACTAGATTCTAAAGTGATCCTCATTTCTTAGGCTTTTAAATATAAAAATCTTCCTAAGTAGGATTACCTCTCAAATGTTTGCAGTATGTATCATATGCTTCTTGTTTTTATTTTTTGTTTTTTGCTCGTGTCAATATGCAATTACTCAATGTGGACTCTCTCTTGAGTGTTTGCAATATATATCATATGCTTCCTGGTTCTTATGTCTTGTTTTTTGGTTCTAGTGTCAATATACAGTTACTCCCTTTTTTCCCTCCCTCCTCTCTCTCTCTCTCTCTCTCATACTTTTGTTTATCAGTGTTCAGGTTGTGAGCAGTATCACAAATTTGTGGACAATCTCGGACTTGTGGTCGAGTATGACTTCAGAATGGATGCAGAATCTGAGAACCAACAAGACTGAGAGGTTATTATAACTAAAATGTAATATATTGACTAGCATCAAACAGAAGAGGCTCTACATTACTTGAGTAGTTAAATTTTTGTTCCTTAAAGAGAGTCTGTGTCCTTTAAATTTGAAATATATGTTATATTCATCTCTGATGTGACCATTTTTCTTTTTTTAATCTTGATAAGTTCGGATGCCTACAATAACTCCAATAATATCCCGGTAAAATCAATTTATCGAATTTTTATTTTGCTTATAGCAACAAGTGTTTAATCCTAAATGAAAATTAAGAACTTGAATTTGAAAAGAAATGTGCCACTTACTTTGAAGAAAGAAGAAATTTTTTTTTGGCAGCACTAAAGAAATTATGAGAAGAAAAAGGTGGTGACCAAATGAGCCTTATAGTTCAATTTTGGCAAAGCCGCTGATGAGTGGAAAAATGGTTGAACGATTGATTGTGAGAGAGAAAGAGATTTTGTATTTGACCATCGCTAAAAATAAATTATATTTATTTGTCGGGGCAAACTTTGTATACTTTTCCTCATGTATAAAACTTATATGCTTTCTTTTATCTAATTGTCCATTCTGACTTGCATTTTGAATGGATCGTGCATTTTGAATGGACGGGTGAGATGGCCTCAATCACAATTTTTTGTCTCTGCATTATTATTTTTTTAATTTTTTTTACAAAACATTTTTACATCAAATTTTGAGTGTCTATTCTTCACTTAAACTCGCATCTATAAAAAATATTTTCAATAAAAGAAAATGATCAAAATGCTCTTAAAAGTTTTGAGAGTACGTTGATTATTTTATTGAAAATATTTTTTTTATGTTGCTTTTAGGTATGATGACACGTACCAAATTTCATATTCATATATGAAAAATTGTTTCATGCATCGTGTCCCACATGTTTACATTTGCTCATCTACATTTTAAAACATCCATCTTAAAGATGGATGCAAATGGGTGATCCATCTAAAAACAATTAAAACAAACAGTCCAAATATTTTTTTATAAAATTATTATTTTTATTTTAAAATTTGATTTATTTATTAATATTCATGATGTCCATGTTAGAGATTACATGTCATTAAAAAATTGGGTATAAAAATCCATCTCAAAAATAGATTTTTAAAAGTGGACTCATTTCTACATGAACTCATAAAAACCTTGTCCTTTATATAATTTGTAAATAAATATTAAAAATAAAAAACTCTGAAGCGTTAAACAACCAGTAACTCACTTGATCAAAATTAAAATTGGACAACTGGATGTGGGAGGAAGTATATATTTTTTCACACAGTAAAGGAAGGGAAGTATAGAAATCTTTCCCTTCTATTTACCCTAGCCACCTTACAGGCCGATTACAGTCTTTCATTGAGAGGGAGACAAAGAAGATAAATTATGTTTATTTACCATATTCACGGCTTTGATAATTACCACTTACTCAGAATTTATATATAACATAAGTTCTTTTGGATCACTCTTAGATCAGAGTGAACAAAAATGCAGGATTAAAAAAACAAAATTCCATATCCCTACAGCCACCATATTCCATAAATATTACAAAATTTTCCTCTTCTGAAATCCAACCTAAGTTACAACACAAAACCTTCATGTAATGGTGAATCAAACAACCATTTGAGATGCCGAAGAGCCTCACAGGTCCATAGAATCACAATACCAAATCTCCACCTTTCAGGTAAAGGGCATTAGGATTCCTTTTTTTCCTTTATGTTTTTTCTATTTTTCCCTGATTAAGAGGTTTCTCCTCCTCCAAGGGCTCTATATGCAGCAGAGGACAAAGGCTACCGCATATTGCCTTCACACAAAACATCAATCATATTGTAGAGCTTCTTTTCTGCCTTGGATTGTACCTGCATCAGTGCAAAAACAAGGAATTGGTTGTCAATTATCAAGGTGCAAATCACTTAACAATTGTGTACATGATTGATCTACAAGTTTCTAGAACAGGAATTGTGTTTTTCGGCTGAAATCTGAGAAGCGGCTTTATAAAATTGTGGCCCTACAAAATACTCACTGAAAGAGAACCATGCAATTCACTTTTGATCAAGCTTTTGGGTAACGGGGTAGTAAAAATGATAAACCAGCCAACATTGGCAAGTCATGGAAAGAGCCAAAGTCAAAACTGAGCAAAATAATATGAACCAAAAAAAGAAAAGGAAAAAATGAAAGAAAAAGAGGTCCATACTTTCAAGGGAGGGAGGGAGGGTTTACAAGATCCATTGACTTAACTTACCCAGGATTCAAGTAACTGCATAAAAATGTCTAAGAGAAAAATTAACTATTTAAATTACAATAGAGAGAAAAACAATAAGTAAATTCTAGGGACAAGTATTAAATAGAAAAGTTTCAATAAGTATTTCTTATAAAATATTTAATATCCAAGATGGGTAAAGCCGACATGCCATTAGACAGATTGGTATGAGGACAGGGGAAAATGGGAGAAGAGAGGCTTCCCCAAAAGATTCCCTAAAATAAATCTCATGAGCAATTACAGTGCTAATAAATTCTGATACCTTCTTAGATAAAAAAATAGCAGCATCAACAGAGCCCTCTGCATATATTGACCGACCACAAACATTGTGCTGAAACTCAAAAGACACTCTGCAAAACCACATTAGAACAAATGATCTTCTTAGCAAAGAAAGAAGCATCACCTTATCTATTTGAAAGGTGGTGTATATATTAGCAAAGAAATCTTAATTGGTAAAAGGGGAGAGAAAAAAAAGCACGTCTTGGCAAAGGAAAAAAAAAATACATTAGCCAAAAACCATAATTTATTCCAAATAAAAAACAAGTGAAAGGTAATGTTAATTACGTTCCGTCTGGAGAGGTAAGGTGATACATATGGAAGGCATGGCCACTCAAATACTCCTCAGGGACACCTACCATCTCCATTTGCATCTTGGGATCTCTAACTAACTGAATCTGTAAAGAAAAATCAGAACAGTAAATAACATTTCTCTTCGTTCATTAACAGATAACTAAATATTGCCTCATAGCTCAAGGAGTTCATAAATCCAATATCAACAATCCTGTCCACAAGAAAAATTGCAAATTGCAAAGGCTCAAACTAGTTGGATCTTTGTTTTATTGATTCTTAAACGAGTAGATGTATAATAATGGCAAAATGAACAGAGAAATGTGTGGGCACCACGAAAACGATAAGATCTTCTTTTTCAGGTAATTGATATCCTATTCCAAGTCTACGATGACGGAGCTTCTTTTTCAGGTAATTAATATCCTAATCCATGTTTACAAAGATATCACTGTAGTCACCATGCATTTACAAATTTGACCACACTCTAGGCTTTAGGTACCTGACCCATCTCAAATGACACCCCAAGCTTTTGAAATGATGAGATGATGGCTTTAGCTGTGCCCGAAGTATCCCGCTTGCTTGCTTGATGTGACTCCATCACCTAAGTTCAAGGCAAACAGGAAAAAAAAAAGTCAATGAAGGGAAAGGTATCCAATACGACCAGAAAATTTATGAGAAGATATGACTTTTAAAGCTAAGGTAGCTCCTTCTACATATAAAAGTGATGCGTAAACCATTACAAAATTATTTAAGATTTCATTGGAAGAGACACCCTCCTCAAACTTGGGAATCGATGTTTTTTAAAGGGCTATCTATGCAACAAACTTTAAAGGGTACCTAAGCCCCAAACCCATAATTATTAGTTGATTCTCTAATGTTACTATGACATATGCATCTCAAGGAAATGTGATCAACAGAGACATTCAACAACTTCCGATCTCAAGATATCTCCTAAACAAGTTTCCTTAATAGGATTGTATTTCTCAAGGCCAACAATTTCCGAAAAACTTCGATTCACAGCCAAAAGTTGAAGTAAAATTAACCCCAGAACTTAGGACAATTGATCAGAGAAGAAGTTACAAATAACCAGAGATCTAAGGAGGGATCCCATTTTTTCTTGAATCAAAGGATATCTCAGCCAAGCACAAGGTTTCAGATTTTGCAGTAGTAATATCAAGAAGAAAATCTATCCCTTCCGCACAAATTCTGTTCTTTTTCTTTTACTTTGTTGAAGGATGGAAGCTTAGGGATGGATGATGGAAGTCGAGATGGATAGAGACTGAGATAGAAGATATCACTACTTTTACTCATAGCTAGGTGGTATACAAAGTAAATCTACCTTCAAGTAAAATCCAGGAAAGAATTTTTTTTTTTTGAAGAGAAAATCCAGGAAAGAATATTAAACTATGAGACCACTGTTCATATCCCACAATACAAAGTGAGGAAGAAGCTCCGACCTGAAGTGTATATCCTGCAAAGGCACCTGGAAACTGTTCAGCCATAATTTCCATCGCAGCCTGAAAGGCGACAACCTGAAGAAGGAAGAACAATCTAAATGAGCACTCCATCACTGAACGTAAAGCAAATAAAATCAAGAACAGATACAATGAGAAAATAACTCATGAATATATCACAAGCACCTGTTTCCCCATCTGAGGTGCAATCACTGCATATATGTTAGCATCTTGAACTGTTTGTAAAAGCCTTTGTCTATCACCTCCAGTAGTGCCCATAACAAAAGGCAAACCTACTTTACAATAAAGTTCAGCGTTCTCTGCAGAATAATTACAAACTAAGATAGGTTATATAACCAACGTCACCTTTAGTCCGATCTGTTTCAGGTATTTTCGTACATAACAGGCCATTATTTAAAAAAGAGTCAGTAGGTAACACAGAAACCAAAATTAGTAAAGAAAGAATCTTGAGTTCCACATCATGCAGATACTACAGAAGCAACAATAGTTTTCTAATAAATTTAAACCAGGAGTCTTCTAGGTATTATTCGTTAAAACTGATTGAGCTTTCTCCTCTAAAATCCCATATAATAGTTAAAATTGCTAAAGAGCTAGCAGGCAATACAGAGGCAAAACTAGAAAAAGAAAGGAAAGCAATATTGAGTTATACATCATGTTGCACTACTGAACAACATTAGTTTTCTATCAGAGCCTTTTGTGGTATTATTTGTTAATTCTCATTTAGCTTTCTCCTATAAAATAGATACTCCCTCAATGATCTTAACAGTGGACCTACTAGCTCACAATTATACGTTCACAATGGGATGCATGCCGAATGAATTATAGGCAACTCTTTACCATTGACTGCAGCAGGCACTGTATAGTCCACCACAATAACATCTGGGAATTTCTCAAGAACAGATTGAAAGATGCTTTCTCGCTCCGATGGACCATGTATTGAAATCTCCACGCTCCCAATTTGTAACTTTTCACCAGATCTCTCGGGATTACTAAACGAGAGAGGTACTAACTCAAGCCCAGCAGAGACTGCTGCTTCTGCTACAGCCCTGCCCATTTTGCCAGTACATCCATTTACCTGTGCATTAAAAGATACAATATAGATGTTGTTTGTTCACAATACAATCTAAATTGAATAAGCATTTTTCTTATTTTTAGATAATTCGAATAATTGTCTCATTTTCTGACAATTTCAAATAAGCAATTTCTTCAATAAATACTAAAAATCTCTTGGAATAAGAATAAATAGGGCAAACAAAGAAACTTCAATAATCCAATATTGCTAGAACCAGGACCGTCCCAAGTAACCCCCACGTACTCTCTGCTACGGACCGACGAGTCTTTTTATTTTTTATAGTGATTCTCTCTTGTCTTTAGATAGGTTTTACACTCGACATTAAACAGAGTATGGTTCTAAAATTTTCAATTGAAGTGTACTTAACATCTAAGGGACAATGTCAACTCTACAAGGTTGAAGAAATATCCTTGTATACACAAAGGAAGAGGTAGAAGTCCATAATGGTTTTGAGCTCATGGAGTAAAGATTTTCCACCGGTGCTATGTTAGCCATTCGCCTTAGGGTTTTGAAGTACCAAATTCTCAGAAATGCAGCCCCTTCTCACTTTTGCCATATTTCAGCAAATAAAGCCCAGCCTCTCACTTCCTTTCTATTAGCAAGCAAGATAAAGGGAAGGTCAGGGGTCTCATTTAACTTGTTTCACTGAGGAATTTGTTATGATACAGAGCCTTTTCACACCACCATTTGGAAATAACTGTATGAGGAGAAATTAGAAATTGTAATATGTCAATTGGGGTCTTAGAAGACTCCATGGTGCTTGTTTCTTCCCCAGAACCTCATGTGCACAAGCTTGGGTAATTGTAGCTCGAACTAACTGGGAAGGAAGCTACACTATCTTTGAAAGAAGTAACAACCACAAGCTAGAGTTATCTGATAAATCTTTGTAAGTTTTTCTAGACACAACTATGTTACTGCTTTATTTATCTTTTAAGCAAAGCAGTCTGAAAAGATTGCCACATTACACCACTCGTGTACAATACAGCAAAAACAGAAACCACGGCCCCTGGTACCCAGATAGTTTCTAAACCTCAACATCTGAGGATTTCCTTCTAAGGATCCCATTGATGTTTATCTTCACAATAGTTGCCAAGAGTGGAACCCAAACACCCATCAAGTCTAAATTTAAGGCATGACTGTAAAATAATTACGTAAGATTTTATACAAATAAATTGATAGAAGTAGAACTTCCTAAGCTGAGCAAACACAATGCCTCTAAAAGACCAACTATAACCAAGAGCCAAAACCAAATAGATCAACGAGAAATTATAACATTGACCAGCTATCCCAACTCATGTAAACTCAACATTGCCCCTCAATAATGACCAACACGAGTTATATAAACAGAATTTTTGGGTTATGAACCCTATGGTATATAGCTTTCGACACAAGTATATCAAATAGTACTTTAAAAAAGAATCTGATCCACCAATAAGAAATATAAAAAACAAATCAATTGGGAGAAGCTTTACCATAACAGGGAAGGAGACACTATGTGATCCCATGGACGACTTTGCAGGTGTCTCTACTGCTGCAACACAATTGGAGATATATATTGAGGGAACATTTCTTGCAACACATTTCCAGCCTCTGGTCTCATAATTTCGGATACATAGAATATTTTTTGTTTGTTCGATTCCATAAATTCCTATAGGAATACGAATAGTCGACCCCATCACTTACTGGATACAACAAGAAATGAAAGCAATTATTTATAGTAAGTCAGTGACAAAATTAATCAGAGCTTCTTTTAATAACCATAACAGGGGATTCCAAAATTCAAATGCTGTGGCAAACAGCAATTAGCAAGCAATATTATAGTCATTTACGTAAATCACCAATCAATCATGATGAACCATAGCATTAAAATGACAAAACTATGACTAATTCCATGTCCCACACCATGAGATGCAAAGGCTCATTCAGCCAAGGAATGACTAGTCCCCACGCAATAAAACTCCTCAAAAAGCACATTTATCGAACAGAACCCCTCATCAATTTTAACCCCCTGATAACCCGAAAATCTTTATAGTTCCAACCAATACCAAACTCAAAATTGGCAACAATTAGCCTCCATTCCACAAGAAATCTAAAAATAGCAATGACGCATGTTGTTTCCATGATGCATATTTTTGCTAACAAAGATAAAGATGCATAGCTACATGCAAACTATAACCCATTTTCCATCCTTCATCGTATTATAGAGGGAAGGCATATTTTGCGCACATTGAGACCATTTACTTCTGATAAAACGAGTTCACAATTATCATCGACGGTTAGATTTGAGATTGGGTGGTTAGGGGTGCGTCATTATTTGTCCAAAACAAATTTTTTTGAATGTTGTGATACAATTTCATCTATTGAATTTTACATCCATTGGTCGAAAGTGATTGTGACCTCCTTATACAAAAAATAAATGGTCTCATAGTATACAATCCCTATAGAAAAACCAAGATAAATATATCAAGAAAACCTAAGGTCATGAAAGCAGCTCATGCAACGAGGCTTAAATGGGTAACCAACGCAAGACACCAAATACACAAATTATGTCTAAATTGGGAAGTACAAGGAAGCAAAATGACAGTTTTTTTTTTCTTTTTCCGGGGTAATTCATGGGGGAGAAAGCCCCCTACCCATTTTTCATTAAATAATAAACAACTCATAAATTTACAACCTTTCGATAAAGCAATTGTGCAAAATGATGAAGTAAAGGATGGAAGATGACAAAGTCAAGTACAATATTATTATATGACATGTGACAAAAAAACTTACAATAAATTATGGTGCAATTGTAGTTTTCATCACTCTAAAAATGAAAAAAAATTATAAACATAAAATTTAATTATTACATAAACTGAAAAATAATACATAAAAGCATGGAAAATTCACAGCAACAAGCATATTCTTGCAAAAATTGAACAGAAAAACACAATACATGATTTGAGCTAACAGGCTGAGAGCAGTAGGCAATAGACAAGGAAAATAACCAAGAGATGGATTCTTGGGAACAAGGGATAACAATGGCAAAAGTAAGCCACAGACAGCAGGTGTAATGTACACAATGCACAACCTGTGTATGGTACATGATAAACACACAAACACACACAGAACCTCTGTATGGTACACTTCTGCTGAATAATATCCAGGTGCTTGGAATTCCCCAGCCAATTTATATTGAAGAAAAATTCAAAATAAAAATTTTAAAATAAAAACTTTAGCCTGTTTCTTTTTCGGAAAATCCCTCCTTTTAGCGATTTTTTATTTTATTTGTAACATCAAAGCATTTCAAGGTTCATGTCATATTCAAAAGGAAACAACCCAATTATGTCAAAAAAAAAAACGAAAATTCAGAATTTTGGAGCAATTTTTGCCCAAAAACTCACATCCATTGCTCGTCATGTCTACACCACTGTATTGAAAGTTTGAAACATAACAGTTCCAGCCAAATAGAGTATAAAAAATCTGAGAAGAAAATAGGCTTTTGAATAGAGAGAGATGAGGTTTTTGAAAAATTAGGTACAGACTGATTTTGGAACAAATTTTGCATAAAAAAATAATTTGAATTTTGTTGTGGTGTACTGAAATATCCGTGGTTCAAGCCATCTACTCCATCACAACTAAAGAAACACAAGGGTTTTGAGGGCAATAAAACAGAGAAAAACCACGATCTTAGACAGACCGATAGATAGATAGATAGATGGAGATAGATAGATAGATAGATAGAGAGAGAGAGAGAGAGAGAGAGAGAGAGAGAGAGAGAGAGAGAGAGAGAGAGAGAGAGAGAGAGAGTAGTAGTAGAGTACGTACGTACGTACGTACGTAGTACGTACGTACGTACGTAGTACGTAGTACGTAGTACGTACGTACGTACGTACGTACGTACGTACGTACGTACGTACGTACGTACGTACGTTACGTTACGTTACGTTAC